TACATTACCTTGATAAGCTCTGTAAAAATGGGATAACATTAGCTGCCGTAGAATACGGCTTAAGATTAAACACGTGAGAAATGTTATTGAATGAAGCTATTTCTTTGGTTTCTATAGCACCGCAATGGTGAAAACATAAATACATACGGCTGATAAACACATTACCCTCGTTTGCGCTGCTCGGTCGGTAAACAAAAAAGGTACTTTTTATATTACTGTAGGGGTACCTACAGTAATATAAAAAGTACCTTTTTTGTTGCAATGATGTTTAATAAAGAGCATTGTTTATATTGCAATATCAATTAATGCATTTTTGGGTAATTCCATAGGCTTTCGCTCATATTAACAGAACACCGTAGAGAAAATAAATAAAAATAAGACTTTCTTTGGATGACTGTTACTGCTAGTTCCAGCGTCTTTTCTAACAGAAAGAAAAGCTAAACGTTCTTGTAATGGCAGATCTCAGTCGATAAGTTGTCGTAGACAACTTTGATTACCAGAATCCATCGAATTTGACCTTGTGCGGCCCCTACGATCCTAACCGTCATACAGACAGTAGAATTGATCCGAAACGATATGCCAAGTATTGATTTTGTTCACGTTATAATAATATTTTTATAAGCATTATGTTACAAGGCATAAAATAACTTTCAATTACGAATAAAGTTTAGCTTGATAGTATGCACGGTTTTCGTAACTACTCGTATGCCACTAACCTCAAGGCAATTAAGGAAAATATGTAATTGTAGTCTATTGATTAAAGAAATAATGCTTAATCAAGGATTTTTATAAAAAAAATTAATAATTACGTATGAACGATAAGGTTAACCAGTTATAGTAAACCAAGATTAGATTCACAAAGGCCATCAAATTCTTTTTAGAAAATGCGTTAACCGGACCAATGAATCTATGTTAATTTAGAATTCCAGCGATTGTATACAATTCCAGTTCCATTGTATACAATCGCTTATCTTTTGAAAGTCATGAATCGATTCTAATTATTTGTATTCCAACTTTAATGAAATATACAAACCGATTGTGAACACATTAATTTATTTTATCAGCGCAATGTTTCCAATTGCAAAATGGAGATCTGATAACATTCAACCAGCTTTTCTAATATTGTTTAATTCATAGTAGTTATTCGGAGATTTGTTATTGCGTTACATATACTGCGCCAAATTTGTGAGCAAACATTGAATATCGTTGTCACCTTGTTGAATGTTGGCCTAAGCATTTGCGTACCTGTTTGTAAGGTATACGCAAACATTCGTTAGAAAATGTGGCAAGTTTTTGTTTAATGGGAAAACCTCACGCTTAAACTCGTCTCGTAGGCGCCGCGCACTGCGGTACCATGACTACGCATGCGTGTAATGTACAATCCTGAAATCGACCTTATTTACTAGTAGTTAAGGTATGCAATGCGAAAGTCGCTTAAATAACTTGTCACAAAGTAATTCCGGGGCGAAGAAACGGTATTCCCGACTGAATGCAGCCCATTTGAAAAATCACTAAGCTTTCTAAGATCGATTACGCTTAAGGCAAAAATAGAAACGTTTAAGCAGCTGGTGCTTTGAACTTTAGATTGATTGCTTACTTTTAAGTTAATTTTATTGGTAAGGTTTTTGTTTTAATTAAGAGCACTATTAAAAAGAACGCTATTATTTTAATTATTTAGTGCTCAAGACTTGATTGTTAGATTATACGCTAGACATGAGTTTCAGCTTTCGTAACTGTTGGTCGTAAAGAAGAAATAAAATGCTATTGTATATAATCGAAAACAATATAAAATACTTTTAGTTTTTAATTTAAATTTGGAATATGTGCATTATTTTAGTCTGAGTCATATAACATGTATTAAATTATTTTTTACTACTTTAATGCAATAATAAAAAAATGTTTATGATGTCCATTGCATTTAATGATTTGAAAAAGAATTTCTTTCACTATTGGCGACCCGATTGGCGTGGGGAGTGGTGACCCTGCCTCTTGCGCCAGAGGGTGTGGGTTCGATCCCCACTACTGGAAAAATATTGTGTGATGAATATAGTGTTTTTCCAGTGTCTGGTTGTTTATATGTGTATGATATGTATTTATTAACTAAAGAAAAGTATGTTTATGTAAGTTTGTCAGTTTTCTAGTACCCATAGTACAAGCGTTGCTTAGTTTAGGACTAGAGAACGTTGTGTTAAAAATATGTCCGAAAAATATTTATTTATTTATTGAGACAGAGACGACTTTCATTATCAACAAGTTAGTTAAAATAACTTAAGCAAGCTGTTTTCGCTTCATAAAGATTAATACGTCCGTAGACATTACTCTGGATAGTAAGACTTATTAGTTTATAGATATATTTATCTATAGCTCTATCGAATCCTGACAGCGATAACAACTTTTGTTAATTTTCAAAATCAAAAATAAAATCCATAATGATTATTACAATGGTGAGGTGTGACATGCTCATGTCAAACTTTAATAACCGCGTCGTGTTTAAGAAAAAGGATTGTCGTTTAATGCTTTACAAGTACATATCTGCCTGTCAGTAACCCATGCAACGTAAGAGAACTACAATCCGTGAAGAATATGAATATGAGTGGTTATGCACAGTGGTTTAAATTTAAAAATTTTGAAGCTTTTAGAAAAAGAAAGCTCCTTCTGCATAGATCGGACTCAAAATTAATAATTAAAAAACTGACGGCAGCCCGGGTTAACTTTGACAATCAGACGTCCAACCACTCAGTCTGTCCTGTGCCCACGACCGCTGTAAAGGGTTCGAAACGTCGGGAATTAAAATTAAAAATAAACGAGATAAATCCGTAAAATTAGTTTCATTTAGAGACAAAGACAGGAAAATAATTAATATCAATGACAGAATGGTTGTCCGAGAACTATGAAATACGTTAACAATAATTCATAAATTCAACTAAATTGTAAATTCAGTTAAATATACTATTATTTTGAATAGTTTAGGCTTTTTATAATATGACTAAGTATTTATTTAATAAATAGACAATATTTATTGATATTCTTTAAAATATATTATTCGTGGATAGTTTTTTGGTATCGTTGTTAATACTGTGAAATTTAATACAACAAGAAATTGGACTAATCATACTTTTACCAAGACTCCCCTGTTTGTCTGTCTGTCACTAGTATCTCATGAAGCGTGATAGTAAGACGGTTAAATTTTTCATAGATGATGCATTTCTGTTGCCGCTATAACAACAAATACTAAAAAACAGAATAAAAATATTTAAATGGTGCATCTTTTACATAAACTAAAAAAAAAGAAAAAGAAAAGATGCGTATTTGTTTGACGTACACACATGGCATACGAAAATCTTTTAAAAAAATTTATGTATTTTCTTTGTACGGATCTTTATGTTAAGAAAACGCGTTAACTAACGCGAAAACGTTTATTAAACTTCTACTCAGATTTTAATTTACATTTATGATAATGCAAATATGATGCATATTCTTGTGCTTACGTTAAGTGTCTGCCTGTTCCGTCTGTATTCCATGAACCGTGAGAGTTAGATGGTTGAAATTTTCACAGATTATGTATTTCTGTTGCCGCTATAACAACAAATACTAAAAAAACACAATAAAAAATAAATGTGGCTTCCATACAACAGACATGTTTTTTTCAGTTTTTATAGACAATGGTACGGAACCCTTAGTGCGCGAGTCCGATTCGCACTTGGACGGTTTTTTGGAGCCACCAATTACAAAACTAAATTGAATCATAATTTCCAGTGCGTACCAAAGCATAATAATTGTAACATAAAACAAAATTATGGGCATAAGAGGCTTTTTACATTTCAGGTAAAAATTAATTGAAAAGCTGGGGAACTTCACGTTAAAATCCATCCAATTTGCGACGCAAGTCTACCCTTCTAATAGGATTATGAGGGTTACTTATACGATTAGGTTTTCTGATATTTTAAGTTAACGGCATGCTTTATTAATATTATATAATTTTAGGAAACTGATATTACATTCGCTTTATAAATTAATTTTGATTTTGATTAGTCGTGAATGTTCAAAATTAAAAGTCAAACTCAACAATGTTTAACAAGAGCTTAATCATATACTAAGTGAGGATAAAGTCGGGATTCAAACTCAGTACCTTCAGAGACAGCTAATTAACTATGAATAAACAGCTAGGTTTCAGAAATATTAATGATCATTAAAATAGTTATTGTGCGATAGAATTTCGACGCCTTTATGGTCAAAAAAGTTTCGTTTTATCACTTCACTTTAGTCGTCTTCATGTGTCTTCATCTTCTTTATCAATGAAAAATAATTTCATAATGTTTGTCAACTATGCGTACTTGGCCCACAAATAAATATTTTTTTAGTATGTGTGTTTATCATGCAAAAATTAAGGTACGATTCTAATACTTTGTTACTACGTGCAATTGGTAGACATACCGGGTTACGCTAGTTCATAATACCCGTAAATAAATGAGAAATGAACATGTCACAATTCGAAATTAGAATAATTAGAATATTAATAATCCAACTATCCTGTAAATGTAGTAAAGCGATGTTATGACTTTCACTTTTATGACAGGTATCATAAATTCTATATATCACTGATATATGTCATATAATGTAAAGCGGAACAATTTTAAACGAGCGCCGCGCAGTATGGACATGCGTCATCTATATGTTAATACGTGAAGCAAAATTTTTATACGAAAACTGCGCGGGCGGAGGTATATGAAATTTCCCACACTTGCAGCTTATATAGAGAAGGAGCGCCGAATGCTGATATTTATTTTAAAATGATGCATAAAAAATAAACAATAAATCAATAAAAAAAAAAAATACACACACTACCATGCATAATTAATTAAGTTCGAATTTCGACCGATTGGTGACCACTAGTCTTCACTAAGCATCGTCGATTTACAGATTAACTGTGGTCGAATTCGACCACTTGGCGAACATTTACAGACGTTATCGTGGCATGTGACGGGCGCACAGCTAGCGACATGCGGGGTGGCCGTTGCGGGGGCTACGCGGCGTGGGCCGCCGCGAGCGCGACTTTGCTGCTCGTTTTCGCTTCACCAACCAGGGCGGAGCCGGAGGTGCCCACTACGACGGAATTCGGTAACGTCCATCGGTTTTTTGAAGTGAAACCTCTAACGCGACTTCCAACAAGGTTGCGTTAAACGTTTAACGCTACATGGAGGGGGTGTGGAAGCACTGTTGCGTTAAATGTTCAACGTTACTGGCGTATCGAATTACCGTGAGCTCTTACGTATCTATCTTTTTCATTAAGCGTGTTAAATTTTTAAATAAAAATGACAGAATAGTGTTGTGTTGCACGGAGGCTTTTCTGTGCCACCAAGGACGTGGTTAGTAAGAAAAAAAAACAATTTATATGAGATACATACATGCAAAAGGATAACATTGACCGACTTGTGAGTCCCTGAAGCGTTTATCACTAGTTATATTGGTTAAAGTTATTACGATATTTACTTTATGATTTTCCTTATAATTTATGTAGCAAGAATGTATTTTTATTTCATGTGTATATGCTACATAATGTCCTTAGTAGAGACCACGTTACATTTAAGGCAGCTCTGATTGTTCTTAAACATTTTGATATTATTAAGGGTTGTTGTATTGGTTTCCAGATCCTTCTAAGCGCGGTAAGAAGATGTACGGCGATTCGTGTTCATCGGTGCTGGAGTGCGGTTACCCTGATTCGATATGCGATGACAACATCTGTCGTTGCGATCCGTCTATGCCGATTTCCAATGATTTTGATAAATGTGCTAAAGGTGAGATTAAAATTACCCGTACTAATTTTATTGGTTTATTCTTCATTGCACAAATAGTACAAAGACGAACTTAATGCCATAGTCATTATCTCCCAGTCAACCTTGGGGTGGAACAGAGAAGATTAGGTACGAGGCACAGAAAGATGTCGAACAAGAAATCACTGATTTTTACAAACTATATTATTAAATGATAATTGACAGTTAAATGGTTATATTTGGGAATAACTATCAGAACAGAGCGATGTATACTTTTCCCATATCTTTATACATTTGTGCGAGGAACTTCTAAATTAGTCGATCAATTGAAATTGTATTCATCCAATGCATATGGGTAGAGGTATTTTCAGACCTTGGTTATTTATGATCGATGGGCATTAACTACTGGAAATGGCACAGATAAGTTGGAGTAAGTCCTAGGAAATGAAAAAAATTGTGGCATATTTATTAACCAACGGTCCAGACTTCAACCATCGATTAAATGGTAGTAGTACTAAGACGTAATAAGACACTTTCTTCCTTACGATTGCCATTCAACCGATGGTAACTGTCATTGCGTGTCGTTTATTGACAAAAATAAAAACAGTGCTTGTATATAAAAATAATAACATGTGCTACAAATATTAATATAGGTACGTTGTGTTTTATAACCAATTATTTGATATCATGATTACACGTTGCAACACTGACGCGTTTCAATTATTTTAATGTTAGAGCAACGATACGTAATGGAAGTACATGCTGTATCGGTGAATTTTACCTCGTTTTTTTTAATTTACCCGTTATGTCGAGCTTTTAAAGTTCGCTTTAAGAGCTCGACATAACAGGTAAAAGCGTAGCGGTCGATGGAAAACTCAAAGTTGCACCTTGCGTGTCTCCATTCGCGTAATAGCCTTTTCGTTCTGTCACATAATTATATGCACGTGTAATTACAAAGCCTACCTTTGTCTGCGTTATTATTACGTTCTCCTTTTAAACTTAATTATTTGTATAATGACCTACATTCGTCAGGCTGTGTGATTGGAGTCCCAGCTTTATATATTTCAATACCGATGACTCATGTGTTCGCACTATGTTGATTAAATATAAAGTTTTGCAAATCGCAGTAACGAATAAGTACAAATTTTGCAGTGCTAATGTCGTAATAATAATATTATATAAGCCTCATGATGTGTTCCCTAAAAATTGTGTTTTGAATTACACCATGAAATTAAATTTTACGGTTATATACTGTTATTTAGCTCGTAGACGAGTTAACTATAAATACAAACACTATTCAAATATGAAAAGCTGACAGTAACCGTAACCTACTGCTCTAACTATTGTTAGTGTAGTAGTTTATTAACTACTACACTAACACCCAGTTTCCGAAAGCGCAATCAATTTTAATTTACGATAAATCTCTTGTCAATCGTTGTTTAACATGATCTGAGTTGCTAGAAAGTCTTAAACAACATTGATTTTGATTTGCAATTAGTCACTGATTAACGAACATTCAACAGAAACTCGAGTTTCTGAAAGCGTTTTTCGGTGGTCAACGAGCTGTCCAAAGTTTTATTAAGTAATCTGTCAATTTGGACGATCAATCGTTGGTTAAAAATTTTATTTATCAAAAATCTTAGTTTTTATTAAAAATAAACATAATTCCCTAATACGTTGTTAGGACATTCTTGTGTTCTATTACCTATTTATTATTTATTATTATGCGAACATATCATGTGATTAGAAAAAATACAAAATGCAATTCAAAAGTTAATAAATAATATGGATTCTTTCTTTTTATAATACCTTCTTGTTTATTATGGATAAAAGTTCTGTAAAGTTTTTTTTTTTGACATTTTGCATGAATTTATATAAATTAAATTTTATTATAGCTGGAATTTTTACGTTGGCAATCACACGGTGACAGGACTGGATAGTGACGTTTATTTATGTTTTGTTTAAAAAGGGACAGATATACAATAGAAAGAGTTAGTTGAAGTGAATCATTCATTTCATTCATTATCACTGGTTATACAGTGATCATTTAATTTTTCTTGAACAAACCTTCCAGAAACCCAAGGCAGTTTAACAAGAGATTAACTGCTGATCATTTTTGACATAGTGTTATGTGATTGCTGCTTTGATTGGCCTTTCGAAACTGGGCATAAAAATTGTGCCCAACGTGTCTGTTAGATTTTCTATTTATAACACGTATGAACTTTAAAAAATATTGTTCTTAGAATCTTCTTCTTTCATATTAGAAGGTCTGCTTAGCTCGGCACTAACATCCGCTATGTTATGTCCAAGGATATGTTATATGTTGAAGAATTTTAAGTAATTACAATCACGTGTCTGTAACCGAGTCACAGTTGGGTATTTTTAATGATTCGTCAAATGTTTTTAAAACGAAATTACGATCTCATGAATAAGATTGCATGTAAAAATGAATTCTTTTCTTTCCACTTTCACTGTATTTTTATACAAATTTATTTAAAATATATACGTAACTAGATTTAACTAGTATTAATTCCTATGTTAGATTTTAATTTTGGTTTACTTTTATTTAGATCGTCAAGTTTTGTGTTTAACTATAATAGGCATAAATATAAGAACAAAACCTGTACCTAAAAATATTTATACAGCGTGTCGTTACCATCGCGACAATAAATGAACACACGTCTAACGCTACTTCCCAATAATCATAAAAAAATATTAACGTTAAACAAAATTCATAATTAAAAAAAAATATTTTTCAAACAAACTAATTAAATAAAAAAGACACAAAATTTGTAACATCCTATACAACTCGCGCCACAGCGTCGCATTACAAGCCTCTCCTTCTAACAGTATGTTTTGTCTCTTTTAAATCCATTCAACCCATTCATATGTTTTGTGACCTTTACAAATGAACTTTACGTTACGCTTCTATAGGTAAGGCTGTTCTAAAAATCTTTGTTTTGGAAAATTTTATAACTCTGTAAATATTGATGTTTAAAGAATTTAAATGTTTAATACAAGTTTAAAAAGTTATACCCTATATGTGTGTTAATTTATAGTCGCTATGGTAACGACACGCTGTATAAATGTAGGTATATATTAGGCTGTTATACCTTAATTAAAAACATGACTAGATATTCATTAAGATTTGTAGAAAAGGTACGAAAAGATCGTCGCCGCAGTGGGAATCGAACCCACGTCTTCGGCATTCGCGGCCTGACGCTTTAGCCACAAAGCTAAACGGCTGATTGCCATTCCGACAAAAATCTTAACGTCTTATATCTACATTGTTTTTAGCATTTGAAGCAATGCTTGGCGCATCCATTGCTATAAGCTTTCCAGCATACAATTACAATCAAAATATAATTATAGACATACATGGGAGAATGATAGTAATGTCTGAGATTGAACTAAATATAATTATTCGAAAATAGTTAGTTAGGTAGCCGGGTCCTAATTTATGAACAGGTGGCACCGCATCTGCAAATACGCGAGTTGACAATTTTTTTTAAAATTTTTTTTTATGTGAAATGTTGCCAAACCAGCAGATGGTTCACCAGATGTTAAGTGAATACCGCCGCCCATGGACATCAGCTACCCAAGGGTTGCAGATACGTTGACAACCTATTGAAACATTCGGCTCTGGCCACCTCACTCACCAGACGAAACGCGAAAATATTATACTTCCACTTTACGCCGGTCTTCTGTGAGGTCGTGGTACTTATCCGGACGAGCCTGCCCATTCCTGCAACAGCCGAGGCTGCTGCGTGGCCCTACCACCGAAATGCCAATGGGCGACGGCTACCACTTAACAAGGTGAACCGCCAGCTCGCTTGGCAACTCACAAAAAAAGGAAGTCTACCTTGACTCTCAGTAACAGTTGCTTCTGTGTTATTTCCCAGCTGCTGGTATCAACGAGACCTGCATGTTCAACCAGCAGTGCGAAGCGGCTGTGATCAAGACCACCTGCAGGAACGAGCGTTGCGTGTGCATGTACGAGATGGTGCCCGAGATGACGGTCGGCGGTGCGATAATCTGCAAATGTGAGATGATGTCTTATGAAATTCACCCCAGTGTTTGATAGCAACAATTATTATTCATGTGTAAATAATAATGATAAACTAATGTCGTCTGTAGGGTAGATAATAACATGAAATGATACATGTACATCTAATTATGCAACTGGTGTACGCGTGGTGAACTATCACGCTTTTGGACTGTCCCACTGTTGGGCCAAGGCCTAAAGAGGAGGCCAGAGGATATTACGGCATAGTTCGCATCGGGACCCCCAGAGCAAATTGGCAGACTTAATATATCTCAAATATATTTTTATTGTTATTATTTCGAAAACATGCATGTTTCCCCGCAATGTTTTCCTTCATTGTTCAGTACATGATAAGTAGAATTGAATCGGGGAATCAGGTTGCTCAAATCTTGAAATAAAAAAGCGAGCTCCTGGAAACAGTTCTTGGAAAAGACCGCACGCGTAACTGGAGAGTATACATTCCATGTGTCCTGAATAATTTCACCACCGTACCTTGCGGCAAAGTTTGCAAATATAATTAATGGTACCTTCAACACTGTCAGCCCACCTTAAATTTGTCAATTAGCGGCAGTAAGCCGTATTGTAATAAAAAGGGCGAAAAAGAAACTTTTATGAGTAACATACCGAAACACTATGATTCTTATCATTCACCTAAGATCAGTTTGCCAGATTTACTACGACTTGGCTATTAATGGTATCAAGTGAAATATATAGGCGTAAGCCTAGTTAAAGCCTACTTTTGCCTTGAAAACGATCACGTTGTGACTTTAGAAGAGATTTAAGTGTAGCCTACTAACGAACGTGAAATTCTTTTCTCAGCTCAAAAGCACGTCGAGGAATCGACCCAGACTCTTGATCCAGCAATGATTGGCGTCCTTGTTGGAATGGCCTTGATGTTTGTAATAATTTGCGTTGTGCTTCGGCTTTTCAGCAGGCAAGTGTTCATGCTTTGAGTAATTATGTATTAAAAGTCATACAAATTAATAACCAGATAACGAGTAACGTTTATTGCAATAACCAGTAGTGGGTAGAGATGATATTAAATAATTAAAATAAATGACGAAGCTTTGCATTAGGAACTATTATAAACTTGGAACTGTTGATTTTATCCAATAATTTCAATATCAATCTCATCTCTATTTATGTTATGTTTTGATTTATGTCGATTTTATTTAAGATGTTTACCAAATATTTTTTTTTGGGGTGAGCGATAATCTCCTTCCACGAACATCCGTAAGATTGGCGGGATTCATTTTCGTTAGTAACTTATACCAGGTGGAACTTTGGGAACTTAAAAAAAAAGTTTTAAATAACTGGTACTTACCTAAGTAAATCTGCCCTTTTTGAAACATCTCATCTTCTCCAACGATAGAATATTCGTGACCATTAGTGAGAGACCAGTGCGTTATTAAGGTACAACGTTTCCAGGGCTCGATGGAGGGAGAACCGAACCATATTCAACACGCCAAACCCTCGACTGATGAACGTGTCGTTGTTACGTGACTCCAAACTCCTTCACTCGCAGGTACTGATATTCTTTCATAATATTTATCTCACTGTTTTATGTGTATGTATCTCACTGTGGGAGAATGCAAAACCCATTGCAGGGAACATAACGACAAATGGTATACGTTTTGTATATTCACGTAATAGCTTTTCCTGACGATTGAAATAGGGTTCTTCAAATGCAGATCCTATTACAGGCATTTTGAGAAATAAGACCTACTATATTTTATACTAGCTGCTGCCCGCGACTACGTCTGCGTAGAATAGGCTGAAGGCATAACATTCAGACAGAAATACAGATATACATAAAATTGTGTTGTTGTTTTGATGTATGAGCTATGTTATTGTAAAGTTTCATTAAAATGCATTCATTAGTATTTGCGTGAAAGAGTAACAAACCTCCTTACTTAAATATACATAGAAACTTTCGCCTTTATAATATTAGTAAGGATATATCACAATTAGTGATTAGAATTTAACTGTGGTAGGACCATGACACAGTCTTCGATGTTGCACGAATAGGCTGGTCCATCCGGATAAATCACGACCTTGCAGAAAATCGGCGGGAAGTTTTATTACATACATCCTTCTGCGTTTCGTCTGCAACCCGACTGGTGTTGCACGTGTCAATGGGCGGCGGTTATCACTTAATATCAGATGAACAGCCAGCGCGTTTTCTACCTTCTCACAAAAACGCTATTATTATAATACATGTTACATAATTATATATACTTATTATAATAGTATTTATTTATGTATTTATTGTTGTAAGTGTTTAATAATTGTTATCATAATGTATGTATACATATTTTATAATCCTTATATAGCTAGCACCTACACTTCTCTCTCACTAACTTTCTGGTTGGCTGGTAGAAAACGCCTTATGGCATTAAGCCCGCCGTTTGTACCAGTTAGTACAAAAAAGTGTGTAAATAAATAAATAATTCACCCTTGTTTATTATGATCTAAAATTAAGAATCATCGAGATTTGAAGTTGATTTGTTTCATAATATTGAATTATAAGGCTAGTATATTGAGGCTAATATATTTTGTGGCTTGTTTTAAGGATCGACGCGGCTCGCGCGTGAGTGTGCGCCCTCCATCGAGACAGGCGAGCCAGCAGGAACTGAGACCTCATTCACCGAGTCCAGGTAAAGCGGTAATCCACAGCGCTTTTTTTTTTTATGGAAAAAAAGCAGCAAACGAGCAGGAGGCTCACCTGATGGTAAGTGATCACCGCAGCCCATGGACATCTGCATCACCCGAGGGCTTACAAATGCGTTGCCGGCCTTTTAGGAATGAGTACGCTCTCTTCTTGAAGGTTCCCAGGTCGTAAAGGTTCGGAAAGACCGCCGGCGGCAGCTGGTTCCACAGAGTGGTTGTGCGAGGCAGGAAATGCCTTGAAAATCGCGCTGTTGTGGAACGCTGGACATCGAGGCGCTTATCTCATCCGCCTCATTCCTTAATAAAAATGCACTCTTAAGAACATTTTATACCAAAAGATACTTTATTTTACACAACATGACTATACAAATATATAACGGCAATTTACTTTGTGAAAAAATTTAAGAGAACAAAATTGAATTTAAATGGGCATGTATCTGCATCTAAATGCTTTTTTTATCTTGTCAATTAAATTGAGTGATTTTTTATATTGCTTCATCTCTGTCCTAATTTATCCAATCTCTGCGTTACTTAACAACTTATATATGTGTACTATGTGCTGTTGATAAAAATTCATGCATAATTTCATCTACCTACAGCACGCCATCACCAAAGCCATCAGCTACACCGAAAGTCCTCAGGTTACTTTAAAATTTCATTTTGCCTCATCCCGCACATAATGAACTCTAAGCTAAGATAGATTTAAGTGGCTATTTTAACACACAAACGCATTTTGCGAAATAAAACATTACGAAATTATACAGTACAGTAAAAAAAATTCAGTTTTTTATCATATAAAATCAATCCAAGGTTTTAAGTAACGATTTCGGACCAGTTATAATAGTTTTTATATGATCAAAAAGTAGAATGGTTCATTTTAAGTATATACATATTATTATAAACTTTTTTTTCAATGTAATACTTAAATATTTCATAATTAAAATATTGTGATACTTCAATAAGTTAACATCTTATTTTAGATTAACGAAAAATCCTAGCATGATACATAAATAAATACTTTTCATTCTGTAATATTATCCGTAAATAAAAGAGATATTTCTTGATGATCTCTCGAAGTATGCATATGTTTTGAGACAGGCACTATAATCACCATACTAGTAGAATTATATAGATATCTCATACAATAGACTTAAATCGTACATGCTTGTAATTATAGATGATCAAACGAAACTGGAATACGATCTATTTCCGGTGGTCTTTGAGCATGTTAATCATCTCCATACGAATCTGCCGGAAGCATGCTATCACGGATTTAGTAGATTTTTTAAACCGACGCAAACATTACACATTTTAATTAAACTACTTTACGTCCTCCTTCCTCCTAAGATAATGAGCGTGTGAGACGATGAATTTCGTAAAGTGGTTTCATTAAAATGGTGCTGTACCACTTTTTAAATAAATCTGGTTTCAATAGCTTTTGTCTAAAGGATCCCGTCGTGGGTCAAGGACGAGCAGCGCGCATTCCGCCTCGTCACTGAGATCCGCGACCCTTCGATCTCCGACCGCCGCCGGGCCTACGTCCGTCACTGTGGAAATACGCGCACCGGATGCATAAGAAGCTAAAGTAAAAATGAAGTATACTCGTACCAAGATCGAAATGACTTAATAAAGAGGCCAGTAAAACCGATAACAAAGGAAAATACAAAAGGTTCAAATAAGGAAGTGAGTTACATCGAAGACGAGTAACATTACATCAACGATGTGGTAAAATAATGATACCCTAAGTCCAAAAATTAATATTATTCATGGTCGTATTCGTAAATATGATAGAGTAAGCTTACAGATTGTCGATCGTTAAGACTTCTGCTATATCCAAAGCAATAAACTCTTGCACTTTTACAAGATAACACTCACAATTTCAGCTGTTAAAGTGCCTCTAAATAATTACGCGATAAATTTTTCCCATCATAAAATATATTAAAAATTAAGAGTATAACACTAAGTATAGGTAAATCAGATTATTATATACATTGATATATCCACATTGTCACGATAAAAATATTGAAACACCTTTTATTACTAAGCGTGCATCACATTACTTGATAAATCTATGTAACTTAGAGTTTAGGAAATAGAAATGAATAATTTTAGCTTATTTAGCGATAGATAAATCGCTTTTTGGCAAACTTGTAGTGAGATAGTTTTTAATTATTTAGTAATAATTAAGGGTATTGTGTAACTTCGAACAGCAAAGTTTTAATTAAATTTTTCTTAAGGTATCAACGCTAGATTTTGCAATTTCCTGCCTTAGGAGTTCTATAATGTAATAGGAGTGTCTAAGAAAACAAAAAGGAATATTATTCAATTTACCGGGACCATCTCCTATGCGAGGAGTGATCTGTGTTTTGACTTAGGGCTGATGCAAAGAATTAAAAAAGCGAGCTTTTTTTGCTGCTTTCAAATATGTACGGGCAGCTCAAATTAAAGCTTTATAAAATTTTAAAGACTTAGACACACTTATAGCATACAAATGAGGTGGTGTGAGGCTTAGATTAAAGGTTTTCTCAGAATATATTCAATTTAAAAACGTAGCTTCTTGTAATTCTTAAGATTAATTGTGTAAATCGGGGAAATTTACACAAATAGATTAATGATAATGCTTCAATGCACTAGAAAGAAGGCTTGGATCCAAGAAGTTAAGCAAAGCGCACAAGCGTTAGTGGTTTTTAGTAAATAAGATGTTCCACGCGTAACAATTTATAAAGCACTGACTTTTGAATGAATGAGTGTTGATTCTTCATCTTCATTATTGCCATGGGATGTACTTCAATTAAGGGGAAGAATTGAGGTACATGACCAACTTAGATAATGTTTAGCTCACTTACATTTCTATTTATTGCAAAAAGGAGTTTTTATGATGTAAGCCAACTTATCTTAAACATAATAATGCTCACAACAAATATTATATATTTCGTACACTGTGCTAGATCTATGGAGATATAACGCTGTAATTTACTTTTATTAAAATTTATTATAACTTATACTTCTCAATTTTTCGTTTTATTTCGTATCCCAGAATTTTTTTCTACTGTTATTATGATCATAAGTTCAATGCAAAATTGTGATTAATATGATATAACTTTTCAGTATAAAGATTAAAATAACTACCACATGCCACTATATATCTTTTTTCGGTATAAAAGTAGTCCAAATATATTTTGAACATCAATAAGAATTCCAACGACTTTTAATCTCGGACGTTGTTGTAAGTTTATTATTTGAGTTTCTGGTCGGTAGGAGCATCGTATATTTTCTTATTTACGCAAATAATACATTTAAATAAACAGATTTTATCGCGGCTCGTTAAAATTTGAAACACCCGTCCCGTATACCTACCGTGCTTTATGTTTAGTTTCTCAGTTAGCAACCGTAGATAAGATAAATATTTATTCAAAAAACCCTCAAAGATCTGCAAAAATTAAAACTGAGTTCTGAACAAACAAACAAAGCCATCAAACAGTGTTACAAGCGTGGAATTTGGAGCTTGTTCAGTGTTCTCATGCAGTGCATGCTTGACGTTTGGTAACTTTACTGCATTACAATGTTTTTATGTCTGGATATACTAAAAGGGTCCATAGTGGAGATATCAACGCAAAAGTAGGTGTTTTGGCGGGAACTGCCCAAGAGTAATACACAGTTTCAAGTACACCCTTTCTAGCAGCAGTATTTAGTAGTTTTAAAAAAATTATCCTAACAGCTTTAACAACAACGTAATAAAAGGGGAGTTTGTGAATCTGTAAGTTTCTTATTTAGCCGGTGACAGCGTATTCAGGTTTAGGGTGTTTTTTTAACATTAAAATTTGTTGTCAAGTAGATAATAATGTCCCTTAATCCTACTACGAAAACTATCAAGGGAAGAGCTGGAATATATGTCATGTGGTAGGGATTTCCATAACTTGACCGCCTTTACAGTAAATGACGCATCATACCTCTTAGTAAAGTCCACCGAGGTCCGGGAGGTATCAGATATTCAAACCTCTGTCGGAGATAGGAAGGAGCTAAAGGATTAGATAGTAAGAAATAAAGGAACGATAGTACATGTAAGTTTCGACGTCTACGGATAGGAAGCCACTGTAATTATCTGTAATCAGAAACGTGATCGAATTTACGCGGGCCAAAAAGGAATCGAATGCACAAATTCTGAAGTCATTCCAACTTGTTCAGTAATTTTTCTGTGGCATCCGAAAACATACATCAGCATAGTCAATAATAGTCAGAAGAAGTGCATGTGATAGAGTTACTTTTGTTTTAATATGAAGAAAGTACTGAAGGCGTTTGAGAGAATGAAAGACACTATTCACTTTTTTTGCTAACAGAATTAATATGCGGTGCCCAAGACATTTGATTATCAAAGATAACACCTATGTTTTTGGCGGTATCTGTATATGGAATCTGGATGTTGTCATAAAATAAAGCAGGTAGTTTTGATCGGTTTGGAGTGTTTGTCGTATGCGAGCTGCCAATTATGACTAACGAGGATTGTGACAAGTAAGCCTAAAGACTCTCTCTCCTGTAAGTCTAAAGAGCCTAAAGACTTAAGCTTAAAGACTTCTCCCACTTGTTCATAACGCTCAAATCCTTATTTAGTAGGGAAATAGCACAATTTATATCTTCTGACACAAAAGTAAAGGTGATAGAGAGAAATGAAGGAAGAATGAAGAAAATGGAAAAAAGGAGAAGAGAAAGAGCGCTTCCTTGAGGAACTCCCACAGATCGCACCACTCAGAGGACTCTTCCTCATGCCATATACATTGTGAGCATCTCTTAGGAAAGAGTCATACCAATAGATTACAGAGCTTGAAATATTTAAAGATAAAAGTATTCCCAGAAGTATGTCATAATCATAAATTATTACTTATAATTATATATTATAAATATAAATTGTACTTTTGTGTATACTTAAATAATTTACATAAAAAATTATATTACCACAGAGTCTCTTGCCGGTTCTTCTCTTGCAGGACTAGTCCAGGCTCACTAAAATATCCTAGTCCTTTTTGATAATAGCTTAAAATAAGCTTATGTTGAATAAACTTTATACTAAACTTACTTCACGCTGATCTGCTATGAGGCCGTTATAGTTACTTCCCCGGATGATACTACTCGTGAATAGTCAAGTCAAAAACAAAGTCAAATAATCTTTATTCAATGTAGGCTTAACTTAAGCTCTTATTGAACGTCAACAAAAAATCTAACACTGGTTCACTAACCTAGACCTGAACAAAGAAGAACCGGCAAAAAACTCTGCGGTCTTGTTCTTTTCGGTATTTTTTTGTGATACAATTATACAAAATTATTTAGGTATAAAATCAGCAGCAGCAAGGGGTCTTGCAAGTGCAGAGAAAGTGTCATTTCCACACATCCTTGACCTCAATGTATTATTGGACATTATAGTAGGCCCTTGCATTTAAGGTAGCTTTTACAAATTGTTTGTCTAATGTAATAGTGTAAACTGTAAACCTACTTTAAAAAATTGTAACACTAAAAACTAATTTTAAATACCTTGTTGCGTTATATGAAGCTGTTTCAGGTTAATTAAAGAGTTTAATTTTTTTTTATTATATTTCATTTCTTTTTTAAGTTAATAAAGTAGGCTTTTCATATTTTTTCAATACACAATGTACATGTGTGGATGTTGTTACCTTAAAATAGTTGTACATTTAGTTATAATTACTGTACTGTTAATTTAAATTATATCGGTGTAACAAACTGTTAAACCTCAATAAATAAATAAATAAAAATAAAAAAAGGGTTTAATAAATACAGAATAATATAATTTATTGTGTACTAGAAAAGAAACTGAATAATAAATTCTTGTTCTTTGTACCACTGTCACGGTCACGTGACCAGTCTACTAGATTATATTCGAAAGGTGGGGAATAAGATTAAAATCAACACCAAAAAATACCTACTTTCATTTAAAAGAAAATATTAATAATACATCACTTTTTATTTTTAACTTTTTGGTTGTCAAAGCCTGATTTTAATTGCTAACTGCAGCGCATGGATATCGCAGAAATGCCACCTTTAAATAAAGTTCTCACCAGACGAAACACAGAAGAAGTATAATACTTCCATTTCACGGCAGTTAGTCGGTCTTTCCGGTGATTTAATAGGTTTATTAAGGTTCCGTACCCAAAGGGCAAAACGGAACCATATTACTAAGACTCCGCTGTCTGTCTGTGTGTTTGTTCGTCTGTCACCAGGCTGTATCTCATGAACCGTGATAGACAGTTGAAATTTTCACACACGATGTATTTCTGTTGCCGTTATGACAACAAATACTAAAAATTATAATATAAAAAATATTAAAATGGTGCTCCCATATAACATGACATGATTTTTTGCCGTTTTATGGTACCAAGTACCCTTCGTACGCAAGTCTGAATCGCACTTATTTAAGGAACGTAAAGCTTAGTTGCATATTTTAGCAATGGATGTAAAACGTTGTTATTCCCATTTGATTTCACTTTTAATTAGCTTTTAGTGCTAACGGTTAGCAGTGCTGTGCTTATTAAATTATCTAGTTACATCGGAAACCAACTCGTTATT